TGAGTAGATGAGCCATACTTTCAGTTCACATCACATATTCAATGACGCAAGTTATAAAACTGGTCTGTCCTTCGCGTTCAAGATGACACCACACGCGTGTCCGTGACCGAGTGTAGTAGCGGTAAACAAATATTCGGTCTTCCGTTCAGCCGACGGGGGACTTAAAAAACATTGTCAGAGATGACAGGGATGGCCTTGACCGCACTGAGTGCTGGTGGGCGTAATTTTCTTAAAGCTGTGTTGCTACATATTACGGAAATCCGCCTTTGCAAGAGTCGGTCGGAAACATTTATGTTTCATCACTCTGTATAGAATAGCACATTACAAGTTTTAATATACGATAGAACTACTGAGAAAGTTTAAGGATAAGATTTCCAGCGCTGGCGGAACAAAACTCAAACAGTTTCGTACCTGCTTTATACGCCTATTTCAATGAACTTTGTCATGGCCAGAGGCGATAGGCRATAGGCGAAAAAGCAATAGGAGATAGGTCGTTCTAAGATCCAAGAATGGCTGGAATTACTTGTGTTTCTGCTTCTTTTTCTCGTGAGAACATGGACCTTAGTGTTCAATTTTCTTTGTATTCAACGAAACCATTAAAAAAACCATATCTCCTATGGCGATGACAACGTATTTTGACGGGCGGGGGAGAGGGGAGGATGACGAATAGGCACATAAGTGAAGACATGCCAAAGGAAACTTAATCTGGTAGACACGACACCTTCTCATCCGGCCAAGATCGGATCGTCTCTTTATCCTGCTTTTATAGTACAGCACGTAATAGGTCTAGTAATGGTGGATGCTAGGCAGGCCTCATCGGAGCCGGTGGCATCGGTGCTGTGTATGTCTTCAGAAGCCATCTGGTCACAAGAATGCTCGCAGGAAACCACAACGGAAAACGTGATCTACGAAACTATCACGTCGTTGTTTACAAGCATAATATTTAGCTCCTTAATCATCCTGAGTACTTTTCAAATTTCCCTTCAAAAATACTCGCGTGGAATACTTATTCAAAACCTAAGTAGAAAAGTAGGCTTGTGGTGTTCGTCTTTTCTGTCAGTCAAATTTTGGAACTCGCATCTCATGAAGTGAAACATGTTTTCTCCACACATACAATCCTTTAGAGCTTTCCTGTGTCGAGATAATTAGAAGATCAAACTCTTTTTATACTGAAGTGTGTATTTATATGAGATCAGATTCATGCAGATATTTTGTATTCCCCAGCAAAAATATTTGAAGAAATTATTAGAATGGTCTCCAAAAAGTTACTTTACAGGAAGATCATTTCTCGTAATTCGTGAGTGATTTTTGTGAAGCTCTCGCGCGTTTTTTCCTTAGTACATTTTCAACTTTTTGCCTCAGGGCTTCGCATTGCATGTACATGGCCTAAACTTCAAAGTTCCAATAGCCAAGGTTTTAGTGCCCAAAAATGACCCTACGACTCCGATCTATTAGCGAAACATCTCATAATTTAATTCAAATGACATCCTTCAGGCTGAAATTTGACCGTCCGAAAACCCTTTTCCCGGTGCAAACGTATCAAAATCAATCCTTGTCAGATTTAAGGATTTTTCAAGTCAGATTACCCGGAGCCTACGGGGACATTTTCTGAAGGGAGAACACTTCAAAATCCCGAGGGTCATCCGGGAGATACCCAGGGGGGGTTGTTGGCCGATCATTGTCAGATAATTGGAATGATTAAATATTGAATCAAAAATAATAATATAAGATTTTAATAACGTTTTGCTGTTGCCTTAAACGTCTCGCTTGTCCAAACTTTTCGGGGCTGTATGAATGGAATACAACACATAGCTGAGAAGGCACCGAAAATTGATTCTCAGCGATAACTCTAATGTCAAAAGAAAGTGTTTCAATCTGTTGACACAGCCGATCGAAATGGGGCCTGCAAGGTCAAATGCGATGCGTCATACCTTGCTTGATTCCATGGATTTTGAATTTACCTACGGGCTAAAAAAGACTCATAGCAACGACAAATAAGAAACTCGCAGCCCATTAAGAATTCAAGAGGACCGTATMATTTCGATACAATATTATTTTAATGTTGCTAAAAAAGTCTTTTTCGAATATTAATCCTTTTATTGATTGACAAGGAATGTTAATTATCTTGGCTCGGGGACTTCAAAGGCTGCGATATGAAAACACCCCGAGATAAGTATTTCCTTTGGCCATGTCGAAACCAAGCAAAAACGTAGGTGCGTTTTGACAAGGGATTTGGTCTTCTAAACTGTTTGTTCAGGAAACATTGTTGTAGTTGTTGTTCTCTTGTAGTTTGTTTTACTCCCTACGTATCTTGTTTTATGAACGGTCCTTCAAGGACCATGTAATCCCCTTCAAAATAGTTGACAAAGTCAAGACCAAAAGCTGATGTGTATTTTTTTTTCTTCAAAGGATGACCCAACTACGTGTACAGGAACACTTCTCGCTTAACTTCGAGTCTACATAACACGTGGAGAGCGCAGAACTCTATATCATATAGCGGCCGAATTGATATGAACACTTTAGGGAGTATATATAGGGTATTCATGGTTTCGACATTGAATGGTATTGGGAAAAGTTATTTAGCTAAGAAATCTTCACTAATTAGTGTCTCAGCTGATGTAAAAACAAACCTAACATAGTATAGTGCATGATAGGTCACTTACAAACGATGTTACAGTGGCCTTGGATTATGTATTCAGAGGATGTTGTGTACTGAGAATTTACTGTGCTCATGGTGTGAGGTCTCTTGCTCTTTAGTACTCATGGTTAATTGATATTCTTTGAAAAGTGTTTCATTGTTTTTCTGTTAACCAATCACAATTGTCAAAGATCCCTAACAAATCGTTCCGATTGGTCGGGTTTGTGCATCCAAGTGACGTCATATGGAGATAGCCTGCTTTGAGGAATATTGTGTCTGTTATTGACATTGGGAAAGTTTACAAACGACATGTATTGCGTGGTTTAAGAAAGTAGAGCGATTTGTAGCCAACATATGGCATGTAGTATACAGATTTCGTTCCCTTCTTGTAAGGAACTGATACAATGAGGATGGGCTGTGGTAGAAGCAAGAAAATTGTGAGTGAACCAACGTCAGATTGTATCGTAAATCCAACTTTGCTACCCGAAGGGTCACGTGAAACTCGCTGGAGTGAACACAGGAATAATGTAAAACGGAAACTTACAGAGAAGGGAGTTCGAGGCGGGAAATTTAGAGCCAGATTCGATGTACGAGTTACTGAAAAATATGAAATCATGGCGCTGATTGGAAAAGGCGCCTTCAGTAGAGTTGTTCGAGTGCAACACAAGGTCACCAAACAACCTTATGCCATCAAGATGATGAAGGTTAGAGAAGGGAAAAAAGCTTTTGAATCTGAACTTGCTGTCTTGAGAAAGGTTCATCATGCCTATGTGGTGCGTCTTTATGAAGTGTTTGAGTGTAGTAATAAAGTTTACCTAGTAATGGAGTTGGCAACTGGAGGCGAACTGTTCGATCGAATAGTCAGCCGAGGATGTTTTACTGAGCAGGACGGGACGTATGTCCTGTACATGGTTCTAGAGGGAGTCCGATACCTTCATTCTTTAGGTATTACACATCGGGATCTTAAACCAGAGAATTTGCTCTATTATCACCCTGGGAATGACTCTAAGATCATGATAACTGATTTTGGGTTGTCGAAGTTGAGGAAAAATCCAGACGACAGTACTATGGATACGACGTGCGGTACACCAGACTATATTGCACCTGAAATTTTGATGAGGAGATCTTATACGAACGCTGTCGATATGTGGTCTATTGGAGTGATCTCATATGTTTTACTTTGCGGTGCTCTGCCCTTTGCCGACGATAATAATACGCGCCTCTATAGGGCAATTGTGGAGGCGAAATACAGCTACAAGTGTGAGGTATGTAGGAAATTTGGTCAACCGTTTCATGATATTTTAAGATCGAAAGAATTGGACAGGTTATTTTTAATCTGTTTAAATATGCGAAGGCAGAGTTGGTTCTAGTCATGTCAAAACCATATCTGTTAGTTATATTTACGTTGCATTGTTTTGCCTCTACGTAGTATATATCCAGGGTAAAGGCGATGATTACTCCCCTAGAACCTGCGAGGTGCCTTGTTCACTGATTGAGTCCTGGAGATCCCAGTTTGGTATTTCTCCATCTTATTGTATTTATCCATGGGAATGCTTCAGTACACTTCGGCATTTTTCGTGCTCAATTATTCCGCATTGATTGCCGATTAGATTATTCGTTCGTTTGTGGACTAACAAATAGAATATCATGAACAAGAAGCGTGACCTTCACCTCGCTGTATAGAATCAATCTCACCTTGAAAGTGGTTTAAAACTATAATGTCAGCTTCATTTTGTTCGTCCATGTCGTGCGAGAGTAATTACACCAAGGTGACTGCCCCCTAAAGGATCCATTTTCTCTCAAGAATGCACACCGTCTTGCTCTGGAACGTTCTAAACTAAACGATTTAAGACCACGCGAATTATGCTGAGACCTTCGAATATTTCGGATTCTTCTTAATTTATTTGAGCAAAATAGAACTTTGATTTTAGAAATGGAAAAATAATTCTCAAAATGTGTTTCTCTTGAAAATTCTGTAGAAACAGATTTTTTCGCTTCACAATTTTGTAAACTTCCGGTCGCTTGACTTGTGCATTAAGAATGTGATGCCTTGCGAGAGATCATTTGTACGATTCTTGATTCTTTTGTGTCCACAGTTAACCTAAAACTGCATTTACACAATAGTCGACACAAATGAGTGTTATGATCCATGTAGGGTAGATAAGATTTCAACATATTTGAACTCGTTTCCTTTTGCATGTCTGTGTCCTACAGAGACGTCAATATGGATGAACTATTTTTACGCAAGTGATGTTCGGTTTAGATGCCTTAACCTTGACGCTTGTTCTTCGCGCTATTTTGAATGTTCGCTCAATAAATATAGCTTCAAGTATATTAAATACACGCATAAAAAAACAACTTTCCAAATTAATATCAATCGAAGCGAACTCTACTTTAGTATAACTAGAAGATCAAGCTGGTAATTCAATAAACAACAGACACATAGTTTGTGCATATTTGCGGTTAAAAGTAAATAAACAGAAAAAGGATCTCGTAAAGTTCGTGTGTTGCCGTTTCGTGATCAATGTTTACGTTTCAATTTCGCTAAGGAAGAGCTTGTAATTCTACATCGCGAACATGACGGAATACTGATTCGCGCGATAGATAATAGCCAAAAATGTCAAGCATTTTTTGTTTCCTTTGAATATCGGCCTTATCTGGAATAACTTTCTGCTTTATTCTGGTACCAATTCAAATGATTGAGATATTAGGCTATCAAGCCTTGTGTTGAGGCTTGTCAAGTTGCGGTGTTAACGAATGAATACTATTTCCTTTAGTATCTTTTGTTATTTGTGAGATTTCCAAACAAAAGCTTCTTTCTGACATGTAGTCATGTAAATCTCAACTCGGTATTTATAAAGTAGAAATGCCTGACAAAGTGTTCCGCAAACATCACTACAATCTCATAAGTCATTCCATTTGACCTCTTTTTAGTTTATAAGCATAGCAAATAATGCTTTATTGGTTTATCAAGACATAAATGGCATATATACCTAAAGGGGATTGAGGAAACTTATGGTTTGTGATCAGCTTATGTATCGACTGAGTGGACATAGTTAATGAAATTATGGCCATTTGTGAATGGCCATTAAAAGATAGTCCCATATAATAAGTCACAATAACAAGATGTTTTTATAACTATTGAATGAAATACCCCCAAGAAGAAGCTTATGCAGAGAACTTTTTATATAAGTGGTTTATGAGTTGCCCTAAGCAGTTAAATCCACCAAATATTGCCTTCTGTATGACTATACAGAGCTGAATTAAGGGTCAATCTGGCCACAAATACTTTAAATAAAACCCTAATTCTTGCCATAAACCCCTTTCAGATGTCAAATATGACTTCATAATTTGATGAGCATAAATCAAAATAGAACAAGGAAAGATGGTAACCCTATCACTGGGGTTACCCTAGTTATAGGGATTACCCTAACTTCTAAGTGCTATCTCTTATTTATTCTATCATCTTTACAAGTGCACCCGGGTTACCCTAGTTGTAGGGTTACCCTGTCTGTTTGAAAGGGTAACCCTTCTGTGAGAGTTAAATTTACCCTTGTAAAGTTGTGGCCAGGGACAACCCACCTACCTTGGACAACTTTTCTACTGTACTCGAACCTCTTTTATCACAAATAACTTAGCCTTTATCACAAACCAGTGAATTAATGCCTGCTGCATCATGATATTAAGAAGTAAAATAAGATTTAAAGTCAACATCTTTGCCAATATTTTGCGATTTACCATTTTATTTGTTTATGTTGTTACTTGGTCCTTCCATTACGGTTACCCTACCTATGTGTTTTTCTTGTAAAGCTGAACTATCTATTGACCCAGCTTGGTGGGTAACCCTACTATCCTAGTGTCGCCTAATGGCCTTGAAATAGTAATCAGCGACATTAGAGCAGTTTTGTATGACTGTGAAAAGTGCCATATGCATGCCTTCATATGAATACGATGTTTTTAGAATTTTAATTGGCTGATTTTTTATCTTGCGCAGTATGATTGGTCTGACGTGACCATGTCGTAACCATGTCTGCACCATGTTTTGGGGTATTCGATTGAATGGAAAGTAAATATTTGATTAATCTGGCGTATGCCTTGCTGTGTTCACAACTGCGTTCGTGACATGAGCTTTTCACAGTAATGTGAAAACTGCTCTCTTACATAATTTCTTTTAGTGTACATTTTACTCATTATCTTGCTTCTCATTGGCAGAAAGCCCTCAGCCAATCCAAGATATCCTGTGAAATTGACACGATAAATGCAATATCTGTGGGTTTTCCTGCAGATATTGCATTTATCAGGTGAAGTTAAGTCAGGATCATAATGGAGATTGAAATTGTTTGTTATTTCTTTGAAAGCAGAATTTAATCTGTATTCTTAGTTTTCAAAATCTATGATAAAACAATTATTGAATTTGGTTTTTGCATAATATAGTAAATTATCAAGACCTATGGCTTTGGCAGATAACACCACCTTGGTCTTGATAAATTACAATATCATGCTCAACCTCATCCAATAAATGTATAACTTTTTTTGACATGCATTGATTTTTGGAAAAGGAGTAACATTCTGCTTATTGCTGCACATTTGATAATTTATTATTTGTCAAACAGGTTGTGATGATTACCAGTGAATATTCACTGACATAGATTTAGGTAATATATACAGTATGAGTGGCGTGTTGTATCAGATATATGAACTTGAGGCGTAGCCGAGTGATTGTATATTTGATACAACAGGGACACGAATACTGTATATTACTTATCAAACATCTAGGTTAGTTCCTTTGTGTTTCGCTAAAATTTTCAAAATTAATTAAGTGAATCTGGCCAAGAAAATCCAACTTAAAGTTTATGCAAATGAACACAATTTTGTATCAGATTTACAACATACTTCATGGTCGTGATTTCTGTTGTGTTTTCCTCATGAATTGTTAATGATTTTGACAAGTATAATTACGACATAAGCATTACAGTTCTGTTTGGAGAGGGCCAAAGGGTCCTCTTTCATCAGGTACATCAGTACACTGACCAACTATTGTTCTTTATATACACTAGTCTATTTAATGAGATATAACTAGCTAAAAACTAGTGTGAGTTGCGTCGGTGTTTCTAATGAAACAGTAATGATGAAAAGGTAAATTATACACCGTGAAAAGATGAAAAAACTTACTGAAAGTTTTTTCATCTTTTCACGGTGTATAATTTACCTTTTCATCAGTCTATTTAATGTGTAAGAACAATTTACAAGTTCTTGTTCTTGGTTTGCAAATACTTGTTCCAAACACTTGTTTGCATGTTGGCATGTGTTAAGCTGCTAGCTTGTTTGGCTAGTGCATGTCGACTATTAGTTTGGTTTACTTCTCTTGCAGTCACATGAAATAAATGATATTTATAATTATATTTTAAATGTTAATGTTGGAAGAATTCCTCAGAAAGCTGTTGTATTTGATAGAAATAAATCCTCAAAAACAAATCCTTAAGAAAGTCAAGAGACTGGTTTACTGAAAGTAGTTCTTTTTACAAAATAAAATGGCCTTACAAGTCATTTTACCCTTTCTTTAACCTATAATAATTCCATTACCGTTCTACGGATGACCTTTTCATGGCCCACAACATACTCTCATACAATCTACATTATGCTTTAAAGTAATGACAGCCAGGTATTATAATTGAATAGCTCCTAAATGCAAATGTTTTTTCTTTAAATCACAAGGTCTTAGGTTGTGGCTATTAGCACTGAATAATCCTTATTCTCAGAGAGGAAGTTTATCATTCTAGCAATTTCTATGATATCATCAATATTAATGGCGTAATAGCATCTGGCTATGATCACGGCAAATGTATTTTCTGACAATGCTTGATGTAAAGTATCTTTCAACGAGGATCCTAATGAATATTAAGTTTCTTATGAAAGGATCAGTGTTTGTTTAAAAAAAGAATCAAATCACAAAATGATATTAGAAAATGATTTATTACCTAAATATACTTGCTTAGTGTATTAGTGGTGCTAAGGTTACTCATTGAGTAGATAGAATTTGTCTTTGTTTATGAAAGTAATCATTAGTACTGAGACATGACAACAGCATACCTTGAAAGGTTATATCTAACATGCAGTAATAGACTTGACCTTATCAATAACAATGTGATAGCCAAGTTCACAACTCACCTTGCACAGGGTCTTATGGTTGCCTAAAAGGTCGGACATGGTCATTAATATTGTCGTACATATGTATATTATTTTGATCAATTTGTTTTATTCAGCTTTCTCTAGAATTTTTCAAAAAATTATTTCACAGTAAACAAGGGTGAAAAACTATATTACAATAAAGGTTACCAATAACAAGCATTGTGGAATCAAGTCAAATGAAGGGGATAAGCTATGGAAGAGTTTCAGTACATTTGTACAGCAATTCAATGGCAATGTAGAAGCCTGTGTAGAAGCCCGTATGCATGAACAAGGGATTGCAGGGGTATTAAGGACAAACCGGGGGCAGGTTGTCTGGCGTCCTGAAAGATTTAAGTAATTGTAATTTCTTCAAATGTATAAAAGGAAGAGTTAGTTTTTTGTGAAAGCCAGTCAATTACTGGTGAAGCAAACAAGTGAAAGCAATAAAAATGTAACTGACTCAGAGATTAAGCTTGGAGTTATCTCCTTATGGGCCTGAACAGGCAATCTCCAATTTTTTTGCTGACATTAACTTCAAGTGCACAGCATGCAATCTAGGAGCCAATTGGTGACTTATAAGATGAACAATTTAGTTTGAATGAGATGTGAGAATTACKGTAAAATAAATTCTAAGGAGTCATGGGCTCAAAACTTCTTAATACCCTATTTTCCTCTATTAAGCCCTCTTCCTTTATTAAGCCCCCTTTCTAATAAGCCCCCAGTATAAGGTGCTAAAATTTAAATACGCCTCCAGTTTATAATAAGCCCTCACCTTTAAGGAACTTTGTGGCCCTTTCCCCCCAGGCTGGCCTTTGATAGTYGTGTCACCTGTTGAGATAATGAATAAAAGTAATTAGCATATACCAACTTGTGTACTTCCTAAGAACTCGCGCGCAAATTGGTTAATTAAAGGTGAATAATTGTACGATATTCACCTCTGAATCTCGGAATATTGAGTCGGCAACAAAATGGCATCTGCCGGCAATGGTTTTGCTACAATTTCCAATGAGGAAATTGAAAAAATGAAAGTAAATGCCATTTCTATCAATACTAAAAAGGCAACGAAGTATGGCCTAAAAGTTAATAGTTTGTTTGTTTTTATTGAATTATTGTATATAAAAATAAGTTACTCTGTACACAAGTTAATATATGCAAAACATAGGCCTCAGGCACAGTGAATATAGAGAATATTTACCTCGCCTCTCGAAGACTTGCGTCTCGGTAAATATTCCCCAATATTCACTTCGCCTTTGGCGAATAATTGCTAATTATGAATTTTCAAAGATCAGCAAAATGTATTAAGCCCCCAGCCTCTAATAAGAAATTGATTTTTGCGGAGGGAGGAAAGCGGGAGTACCGAGAAAACCCTTGAAGCACAGTAGAGCACTAACAAACAACTCAACTCACGTACAACACCGAGCTCATCAGGACTCGAGCCCGGGTTGCATTGTTGAGAGTCGAGTGCTCTCACCTGGGTCGCATTGTTGAGAGTTGAGTGCTCTCACCACTACGCCACCCATGTCCCAGTGTCTTACAATTCTCTTTTTGTTTATTTTAGCCATGGAGTGATGTGTCTGACATGGCAAAAGAATTCATCGATAAGCTATTAGTTGTAGAACCAGAAAAAAGAATGACTTCAGAGGAAGCACTTCAACACCCATGGATAAAATCATTTGCAGCTTCCTCAAGCTTTAAAAATCTCCATGGCTCTATTAGTTCAAACTGGCTGAAGTCATCATCGAGGCTCAATAGTGCAAACTCAAATCAGTCAAAGAGATCTAGCAGGTCTACAAGATCAGGGAAGTCAGTTCTTTCAAGGCACCACAAAACAATACCATCACAGACGTCAACAATACAACATCATGCCGAGAAGAGAATGAAGTCATCAAAAGAAGCTAGTAGGTCAACAAGGAACTCAAACGTAAAGTTAACAAAACAGCTAGTAGAAAAACTTCAATCTGTTGCTCAAGAAGCTAACGCAGAGCTTCCATTGAAAGTAGAGAGCACTGAAAAGCAGCCAAGTACTAGACCTGTTGGACAAAATGTCAATTGCCAAATGTCAACATCAAGCCATATGAAACTCAAAGATCCTACAGAAAAGGATGACTTTGTGTTGCAAACTATTGATGAGCCAATGCCTGAAGCTGAAGAAGCAAAGTACTTGACAGCATTTCCACCACTATCACAAATGAATTATAGAAGAAATATCATCCAAAATTCATTTCAGTTTGCCGAAATAAGAAATTCAAGATTGAGTAATTTCTCAGAAGTTGATGAGGATGTGTTGAACGGAGGGGGCAGATCTGATGCAATTAGTGGCACAATGTTTCCAGCGTTCCATCCACCAAGGCAAACAAATAACTTCCTTGATGGTCCTGTGACACCTAGGCCTTTTGCTATGGACATAGATTACTCAAATGAAGCTAATCATGGATCTTTGAATTCCATGCCTGCTGCCAATTTAACCGTTCCTACAAGGCCTAGGACGATTATGTCACCACGTGCTAAAAGAAATAAAGTCTCCTGCAGTTTTACAGATTCTAGTACTACTTGAGTAAGGGATGAGGTAAGTGCTAACTTCATTATAACATCGCTGATGAAAATGAATCTACTCAATAGGCCACGTTTGAGATATTAAAATTCCAGCATGATGCCGAGGCTGAGGCCGGCATTTCCAGAATAAAATGTTACAAATTGCATCACACCTCAAAAATGTATCAGTAGATGTAGTGTTATAGATTCAGTTACTGCTTTTTACATTAAAGTGCACATTGTTTTCCTCTTTCTTTGAGGCATGACAACAGTATGTTCCTAACGTCTGAACAGCAGGTATTCGCAGGTAATTTTTGACCTTTCTAGGGGCAACTGTTTAATTTTTGGCGATTCGACTTCACATTCCTGAAGTCTCTTCCATACATTCCTGAGCTAAATAGCGGCTAATTAGCTTGCTTTGAACATAGTTAATTTATTATCTATGCTTTGAAGTAACATTCAAATTAGACTGTTACTTTGAAGCCAATTAGCCACTTAACATCAGAAATGTATGTGCAGAAACACACTAATGCTTTGGCGCAAAGAAAGAAAAAGTGCATGGTGCACACTCTAATGCAAATAGCAGTATAATATCGTTCAGTAGTGAACTGTGCCTTTTTTCTCTTGCCTTAAGGTAGGAATGTAGTATTTGGTACTTTTTTTTAATTCCTACAGATAGATGTATTTGGGGATCCATATGTACGCTTAATACTGTACATGAAGTACCATATTGCTAAACCTCGCTATCGAGTCTGAATTTTAAGCCTTGAATGTGGCCTATTAAGAGATTTCCAACCTCCAATCAAATACTTTGTAGTGCAAATTATTAAATCCATTTTTTCTAATTCTATTTTATTCCCATAAACTGTATATAAGTATTATAAATCATATGTCATTCACATATCATAAAGTTGACTTGCAGTACTATGCAAGTTTCTTCAAAAACAAACTATATTTACTCATTTTTCTAATAATAGGAACTAGCTATTTTTTCATGTGGGAAAGGGGCCAGCTAGTAGTTTATAATGGAGCAATTATTTAGTGGTCTACATGTGAGAAAAAACTCCAATTTTTTACTTAAATATGGCTCAGCTTAATATTCAAATACACCAGTTTCCCATTCGATGCATACCACTGTCTTTGAAGACCACAGACTCATCTGCACAGGTTTAGCCTTGTTTATAAGTCAGCTATTCACAGATACCATTAAAAATCTGAAGGATTTTAAAACCTTGGTATTGTTCAAGCTGCACATTATTAGTATCACAGTTGACTTTTGCAAATGATCTCTTAAAGGCCTGTTTACACTAGCAAATTTTGCATTGCAATTACAGCACCTCCGTGTTTACGAAACAGTGCAAAATTGTTTCTGTGAAAAATCAGCGTGATAATTTCAACCATGTTCGAAATCGCTGTGATCATTGCGCGAGAATCGCCGCCAGAATCGCAGGCCGTTTACACAGGTGAATTTAGCGTGCAACTTGGTCGTGCAAAATTTGCTAGTGTAAACAGGCCTTAAGAAAGGCTAAGCCTGTGTAATATGAATCTTGAATCAAAATTGGTGTGCAGCATGTGCAAGTGAAGTCATTGATTTGTCACAAACTTGACACCTCAAGACAAGAAACCTTGATTGCATGACCACTTTGAGCAAGCATTGATGAGCATCCATAAGGTTTTTGTGTAGATAGCTCCAATATATGAGAAAAAACAAAATCGATGTGCAGCACATGCAAGTGAAAATTGCTGTAACCTACAATTTCTAATTACACTTTTTGAAATACTAGTTGCTCGCTTATACACTTAAATAGCCCTATCGTGGTGAATAAATGGCTAGCGTCCTATTCCCATATGTATTACCTTTTTTATGTACTTATCTTCTTAAAGGAGAGATATAAACTTCCTGTTAGTTTATGAATATCTGTAATAGATGATAGCTACTAGATGTAGCTTGCATAATTTGTAAAATTGCTATTTGTTTATTATTATTATACAAGTTTAAACAATTCAACAAAAAGTCTGAAACAGGCTGTATTTTAACTATACTTTTTAAGACAATTATTCTATATTACATATGTACTCTTTTCACCATTCATTCAAATAGAGATAAAAGGAATCCTTGAAAAATGCCTATACCACCTAATTCAATATTTTCAGTATTGATTCTACATAAAGTGAAAGTAAGTAAATTGTAAAATATTTTCATATGATTTGAGTGATGCATTTTGGAGATATCGAGGTTTATACTTCCAATATGTTAATGAGTGTGATGTCATAGGAGGCATTTGAGTTTGTCATCATTTGTAAATTCAAACAATGATCATTAGAGTGCATGCAGTAAAACCATGAAATAAAAACAAAGTTGATACTGAGAAATAGTAGCTATTTAGTGACGAATAGTTGCTAGCACTCAACTGAACATTTAGGCCCCATCCACACATATCCGGAAATTTTTGTATCCGTAATTTTTTTTACGGATACACAAATTTAACGAAAACAGATACGTGTGGACTATGAAAACGATTCGAATACACTGCGTGTGGACGCAAACATTTTCGTATCCGCAAAAAATAATTTGCGGATACAAAAATTTCCAGATACGTGTGGACGGGGCCTAAATTAACAAAAGACACAAATGGTCTCTTGTGTATTTGTCTTTGTATCATGAATGTTCTGGTTGAGTGACTAGTAGTCACTAAATAGATACTATTTGTCAGTAAATCAACTTCGTTTTTATTTCATGGTTTTACTGCATGCGCTCTATGATAAAATAAATTTGCAATAACCTTTCTATAAACCCCTATTAGTAAGACAATGATGTTGTACACAGGATATTACTATCGTTCTACTCTACTCTAACAATGGAACCTGACCATGAACACAGTTCGAGTTTGTCAACCATCAGATTACGGATCGAAAACAATAAAATTTAATTTACATGTATTGGAAGTCTTTAAAAACTATTCAAGGAGATGAAATGAAAGAGAAAGACAAAATAACAGTATATTATTTTCACAAATAAAGAATAAGATAAAAGCAAGTGTTCATGGTTAGAGAAGAATGACAGTAAACCGCTCCAGAAAAGGTTCAATATATTTAATATAATAATAGTAATAATAATAATAATAATATTAATAATAGTCTATATTTATAGAGACTATTATCATAATATACCTCCTATGACATCACACTCTTTAACATTAAGTATAAACCTTGATATCTCCAAGATGCATCACACAAATCATATAAAAATATTTTATCATTCAATTATTTATTTCATGTAGAATCAATGCTGAAAATATTAAGTTACGTGTCATAAAGTCACGCTTGAAATCCTACTGGTTTTACTTTTCTTGTAATTAACTCAATCATGCAGGGGGGAAAAAACGGATTCCCAAATTGGGAATTGTTGGGAATTTCCTTGAATTCCCAATTCGAACACCAACGTTGGGACTTATTGTTGGGAATTTCCTTCTAAGGAATACTCAATAGAAAAACAAAATTCCCAACAAACTAACATTGGCAATCAGTGCCACATTCCCAATTTCATTCTCTCTGGGAATTGGATCGGAATTCGTTGGGAATTCAAGGAAATTCCCAACAAATTCCCAATTTGGGAATCCGGTTTTTTTCCTGTGGATCAGTACACCAATATTCACATGCAACCTAAAATTTGACACTTTTTGCAATGGTAAAATTTGTGGTTTTTGGTATTTGTTCTAAGACATTGATTTTAATTGAATTTTACTATCAAAAAATGATATATTTTTTTATATGAATCATGATTTYAAAATTATGAAAATCTGGAAAACTAAAAAAAATTGAAAAAAACAAAAAATAAAAAGTTTTATTTGTCAAGGAGAAACACATTCACATTCAAATTTGAAGGCTCCTTTTCAAGCATTGTATTATTCCTTTAAACTTTATCTCTTCACTAGAAGTTTAAGCCGGCCTTACGTTATTTACTTCTGGTGTAAAATATATTATTTAAAATTATGTATATAAATAATTATCAGAAATATTAAAACACACTAGAAATTAATCAAAAACATTCAGATGCATTGAAATTGACTTTGGACCATTTGTAATGTATTTGGTGTGGTTGGTATATATAAGTACATGTACCTAACTAAAATAATTATTATTTAGCTGTATACATTCACTGCTCTTAAAAATATTATAATTTCTAGAATGTGAATTGTAGATATGGTATTTTTTGATGATTCAGCTACTAGTTCTCTATGAGAAAACTAAAAAAAAATTTAAATAGACATTTCAGTGCAGTGCTTTTTGCATTGCTAAACAACATGGCTGGTTGCTTTCATTGTTTTCAACGCTACACGCTGATCAAGACAACAGTTGCTACGTGGAAATTGGGCAATAGCCTGCTGTCAATCAAATAAATCATTAGAATATATTAAGATACATGGAAACCATGAGATTAGGTACATGGGAAACTACTCTAAGGAATTATTTGACTGACAGTAGTTTATTGAGTAATTTCCATGTGGTGAATGTTGTCTCAAACAGTGTGTGGCAATAAAAACAGTGAAATACAATTATGATCAAAATATCTCGCAAACTGAAACATAAGTTATAAATGGTCCACACTGTATGTACTGAATGTATTTGATTCATCTCTTATATAGCTTGCGTACATTAATCGATAAAAGTGATTAATATATATGTATATAAAGTCAAGATATTTGTAAATAAGTGACAGTTAATTCAATTTTGGGTCAATGTTTTGAAGAATAATATGTAAAATTAATTTAATAGGAATAGAGTAAAATAGAAATTCTAGTTTTATGAATTTTAATTTTCAGATTTATTAGAGCATAGTTTTGTCAATATCTCTGAAGTAGAGTGAAGGCATTTAACCCGTGAAATA